CCACCTAAATTCACCTCCAGGCCCCGTCTCCCTTTCCAGGCCACCTTCCCAGCCTCTTCACTCTCCTGGAGTCCCAGGATTCCTGAACCGTCTATAAAAGTTCTTGGCTGGGCTCTGCCTCTAGTCTTCGGTGACCTCTTGCCCATCCCAAGCTGCCCCACCCTATCCTAAGTCGGGGAGATGGTCTTCCCACCCCATTTCACAATGAGAGATCCCAGATTCAAAAGGTGGCTTACATCAGGTCCTGAGCGTTCCAAGTTGGGGAGTATCTGAAAAGGGGGTGAAGGAAAGGAGGAGGAGGTATGAGGCTCCAGCAGAGGCAGGGGAGACCCGCTGGAAGAGCCATCCCTGATGGGGAGCTCTGCAGGGAGGGACTGACTTGAAGCGGGGGCGGGAGGGGGGGCAGTTGCGTCTCAAGTCTTAAAAGTGGCACTTCCTTCTTTCCCACCAAATCTATGGAGAAAACCTCAGAAGGAGGGAGATGTAATGTGGAGAGTTCCAGCCATTCCAGATCTCTCCGCTGATCCTGTGAGAACCACTTTGTCCCTCTCCCACTGCCCGTCCAACTTCTGGGGAGGGAAGTCCTGTTCCCCCGTCCCCCACCTCCAGCTGCCTCTTCCAGCTGAAATCCTCCTTTCCTGGCAGACCTCGGAGACTCAGATCTCACCCCCTACCACTCCCCCCAGGAGAGCCGGGGGGCCACTGTTTCCTGGATTATCCTAAAAGCTTCCGAGAGAGGGCCGAGGACTTGGCAACAGCCCTGCCAGAGACTCTCACCTCCCCCTCTGGCTCTGGCTGTCGCCTCCTTTATAAAAGCCTGGTTCTCCCATCACCCCCCTGCTTGCCCCTCACTGCCGCTGCCAGCTCTGGGCTCCATGGACTGGTAAGAGGGGCTGGGCTGTTCCCTGTCCGGTTCAGGGGACAAGAGGATCAAGTCTCCACTCCAAAAGGATCGCGGAGAAGGGTTTGGAAGGCTTGATTCTCTCTGAATCAGGAAGGAGGAGATAAGAGGGACTCTTATCTGGGGGGACTCTATATGGAGAATCAAAGAGGATTCTTTGGAGGTCTGTGGACTTGGCTGAGCTGAGATCTGGGGGCGAAGTGGGGCGGGGATTCACCAGTTAATAGATAACCAAGGGCTTCATTCTGAGAGAAAAGATGGGCGAATATTAATAGACATATAAGGCACACGCTCACCACATGGAAGTTCATGCGCGATAGAAGACCCGCAGAGGTAGTAAGGGAGAAACCTCTGTACATGTCCTGTGGGGAACTCCCTTTATGATGGAGACAGGACAGACACCCCACATTCAAGCCCTAAAGGTACACACAGGCACGATGGGTACACCCCCCCCCCCCAGCATACAGATATACTATCCTCAGCTGGGTTCATCTTCTAGACTAAAAACAGATGTGGATGCCAGTGAGAGTTGGATTTGTAATAGATTTAGTGTCCCGTATAGTGCCTGGCCCTAGGTAAGCCCTCAATAAGTGCTGAATGAATATGGATGAATGAAAGAGAACCATTTGGTCCCAGCTCTGGACTCTGCCCAGTTTCCCAGGAACATGGGAGAGCAGGGTGGGAAGAGGGAAGGATAGGAGGAACGTGTTGGTGTCCAGGATCATTAGTTAGCAGGTTTCCGAGTGCAGCCTGAAGGCGGGAGTGGAAAGTGGAGAAGAGAGAACAATCGGGAATTAGGAGATGGGGGGGGGGGGTTTGGTCCCTGCTCTGCTTCTGACTTTCTGTGTGACTTTGAGCTACGCGCCTCCCTGTTCTGGGGTCCAGTTTCCCTACCAGTAAATCAAGGACTTGCATTGGACAATTGTTACGGGCAGACCAGCTTTAATACTTTCGTAGGTCAGTCTCCACAGAAGGACAACTGAGATTTAGAAAGGACCCCAGATATAACTGTGACTTGTCCCCGCAATCCAAGATGGGACCCGTTTGTCCTATTACAGTCGGGATCATGGATGGCTTTGATAGGGAGATCAGTTTAAGAATGCCACCCCCTTCACCTTCTGCATCTAGGGGAGCCGGACTCTCTGGGCCATCACTTCTGCCCTAGCGAGGCCAGATGGAGTAGCAGGCAGAACAATGGCTTTGGAGCCTGACAGATCTGGACTCAGTTTCCTTCTCTGTCTCATTTAACAGCTCTGTAATCTTGGGCAGGTCATTTCACATCTTTGATCCTCGGCTCCTCGTTTGCACGATGGGAGTAATAATAATAGTGACTTTGCTGCATGCCCATGAGAATTAGAGATATTTGTGGGAAGCACCTGGAGCATAGTATATGCTCAATAAAGACACGGCAGCTATGGTGGCCACGGGGACTAGTGAGGCTCCTCCAGGTACAAAATGATTGCTGATTGCTGACCGTAAATGAGGTGTAAGAAGAGGGGTAGCAGGACTGGACATTTGTGGCAACATCTGTCTATTTACGTCTTTGGGGGAATGACGAAGAAGGCTAGAAATGGCCCGATTCCTGGGCAAATCTCAGTCTGTGTGGGAGCCGACGTGGTAAGCAGCATTGTTCAATGTTGAGAAGACGTAAGAGTACCGGGCAGTGGTTCTGTTAGCAGTCATATCGACATCAGACCATGGGCACCGTTTAGTAGGAAAACGTCTGGCCAGTGGGAAATGGAAAGGACTGGAACCAGAAGAATGCAAGTAAAGGGGGACCGGGAAGAAAGACAGCACCCCGAGTCAGAGGCAGACAGCTACGCAGGGCAAGAAAGCAGGATGGCTGAATTTTTCTGAGAGGACTGGACTGGGACCCTAGGCGGCCGCCAGTCAGGGTGGGGTGAGATTAAAGGGGGCCTGGGGTGAAAGTGGGGTGGGAAGTATGCTATCCAGGGGCTGGATCCCTTTCTCTGTTGCTTTCCAGGGAATGATGGAAGGAGCCAGGAAGATAAGATAATCTGGTGCCTATAAATAAATGGGAGGGTGGACTCAGATCCCTCAGCAGAGTGTTAGGACCTTAAGAGCAGTAGCTTCAGGAATAGCCAGAAGGCCAGCGGGCTGCAGGGAGGTGGAGGCAGAGAATGCCTATGGGTAAAATCAGACTTAACATAGGAGCCTGAATCACAGGTTCCCTTCTGGACGTGACTGTGAACTGGGATGCAGACCCAAATTGCAGGGATTTGCAGGCTGAGTGAAAAGAGATAAAACCGTGTTGATAGAGAATTGTTGATGTTGCAGTGGCCACAAAGACCCAGAGCAGTTCTAGAGAGTTCTACATCACAGGGGTCTGAGTGTCCGGAAGAAGGAAATTCGACTGACTGGAAAGTATGATCCCTGACATCCCGAAACACCCCGAGGCTCCCCAGGAGCTTGTCTTTTACTCTGCAGGGCAGCTGCTCTGCCTGCATTTAACAGAGGAGGAAACTGAGGCTCAGAGTGACTTAACCCACGAGCTCAGCTCAGCAAGTACAGGACTGGAGCTACAATTTGGGTCCACCAACTCCCAGTCCAAAGATCTTGTGAATATACCTTAACCCAACGAACATTTGCTGGGAACCTACTTATTTAATAATTACAACCACATCTTCCCTTTTCTGCGACCTTACCAGGGGACCCAGGGGCTAAGTGTTTTAGGTACATCAATTCCTTTAAGCCCCAGGAAAGTCTCCCAACTTGAACTCAGGTTGCCCAGATGAGGGAATTGAGTCTTAGAAAAGACGGAGATGGACAGAACGAATCAGACCTTGACTCTGAATCTAAGAACGTGTGTGTTTGGGGAGGGGGCGGGGAGCACACAAAGACTGATTTTCAAGTGGCTTGTGGATTCAGTTTAGCCGTTTTATAGTGGCACTTCGAGCGTGTCCCAAACGGAAATTCGAGTCCAGTAAAGCAATAGTGGCGGAATCGCGGCTGCAGAGGTGAGATTCAATCAGCCTAAACTTTGGTGCTGCTGTGCCTAATAAGACTGTAAAGACAAAAAACGAAATTTAAAAGGCCGATGGCAAAACGCGTAGGGAAAGCCAAACGGCGCAACGAAGAAAAAAAAAAAAAAAA